TACATTGAAAACTTTAACAACTACGAAGAAAAGGACTTTCTTCAATCGTTGGGGCCAAAATATGTCTTTCATTGAGCATTTTGCAGTTGATTCAGAACCTAAAATCTGAAAATCAGGAAAAAATGGACAGGGCAAATCCGAGAAGAAACATGAAGTGGTATGGCCTTACCTCCACTCTTCGCTCCACGGCCGCCCAGCTCCGGTAAAAAACGTCTGCAGTGGGCGTGGCTGTTGCTAGGAGATTACCCAGAGTTCCCCTCACCATCTCCATGGTGCCGGTGGAGAGGTGAGAGGTCGGATGAGCCAGCTGCACCGTGATTGGTTCATAACCTGGCAAGGTCAGGGAGCAAAGGTCATTACTAGTGGTTTATAACCAGATACGTTAGGTCAAGAAACCAACCCTTTGAAAGAGCAACTCAAAAACATAACTACAAGTTATCATGAAAGTTCATCTGTGTTGGTCATAGATACAGTCACCCAGACATTTTGTTTCACTTGACACTGTAAGGATTTTAGACACTGAGCAAGACTATATCCTGAGAGGGGTGAAGGAGGCTATCACTTAACCGCGACGGGGGCCGACATCATCTACCAGATACCTCTGACCCAGTGTTGACGTCACACTTCAAAGAAGCCATGTGACAAGCCTCACTGGGTCAGTCTACTGAGGAAGACCAGAGTGACTGGTCAAAAGCTCTAGCTGAGAGAACTTTTTGTGTTGGAACAAAAATTTTAACTTTAAACAACCTAAAAACATATTTATAAGAAGTACCCACCCCCCAGCATCCCCCCAGAAGCACCCCCCCAGGAATTACCCCCCTCCTTACCTGTGACCTTGAGCTCCACGACCTTGTCCCTGGGCAGTAGCGTCTCGCGACCTTCCTCGTATTTCTCCACATACGACACAAGGTCGCCCTTCCCAGCATCCCTCAGCACGCGCTTCAGGAAGGTCACGTTGTTCTGGTTAAAGTAACCTTGGACACACAAACAAACATGACACCAGGACATAGATGGGAGATACTTTAGACAAGCAGAGGGCTTACACCTAGTGCTGTGTACCAGTTCACTGGACCAGTTCTAGACTTATAAAAATGTTTAGGTTCAAGTCCAAAAAAAAACTAAAAGTCAACAGCTGATTCCGGACTTATTACAAAAAAAAACATGTCACATACGGCTTTTCTTTCCAAACCCGTGACCTAAAAACCTTCCATGGATTGCAAAATTTGTGCTGATAAAATGAAGAAAACATTGCCATCGGGCATCATCAAGTGTCAGCTTCCATGTTATGTGGCCACAGTAAGTCCCAATTCATTCCAGTGTTGGAAGGAAAGTTTAGTCTTTACTTCATAATAAGTTCATGGTGTAGAAGAAGTATCTTCCTGGCCTACTAACCTTTGTCCACCAGCGTCTTGAAGAGTTCTCGAGACGTCTTGATGCCGTTGAGCGCCTTTCTTGAGAGGTGGTTCGTGCAGCCGAGTTTCATCTTCTTCAGGTCCTGCTGCGAGATGTTGTTGGCAAGGTCACGGATCAAGGGCAGGAGGGGCGTCTTTCCCTGCGGCATGGTTCCGTCCTTCAGGTGACCTTCAAGTCTATGGTTCTTCAATTCTGTCCTTCAAATGTCACTTAAATCTGTCTTCACTTTGTTATGTATCAATCAATTAGTTCATGCTTTTCTGACAACTCTCCAGTGTCACTGGCGAAAGCTATCGATGCTACCTGAAACATCTGACCATTTCCAAAATCATATCCAGTTGCTTGAATAACTGGTTTTTTTTGGCGTATCTTATTACCTGGATGTCTAACCTTCACCGACGACCCTCAAGTCTATTAGATAAAGTCTGTTTCCATGGCAACTGGCCAAAATGTGGCAAAATCTACATGTTTAGAAGTTCAGATGTAAAATGTAGAATTCTCCTCCTCAGCTGTCGGGTGATGAATCATCCAAGGTCGTTCGTTCAGGCTGCAAGGTCATCTACGAGGTGTCTTCCAGCTAAAGGCTCATGGGAAGGGTACCCTCTCATCATTACCATGGCAACACTGGAACTGGCCTCTCCTGAGCAGATAAGAATAAGGTTCAAAGGTCAGGTCAGAAGTTAATATTCTTAGTGCAGGCTTCAATATAACATCTGTGTCCATTATATCACCATAGTCCATAATATTGCCACCTTGAGAAAAAGTGTGCTGAAAGATATTTTTACTGCAACATACCCTAGGTATGTACATTTGATGTGACTGTGAAGGGGTGCATACCAAAAGTATGTTGCAGTAAAAATATCTTTAAGCACACTATTTCCCAAGGTGGCGATATTATGGACCCTGGTGATATTATGGACACAGATGTGTAACTTTACAGGGTTTGCCAAGCCTCTTACAGGGTAGTTTGAAGATAATCACCAATTAGAATTGTATGAAAACTGCCTACTTTGTCATAAAAAATTTATCTCTGATTTTTTTCTCTGAAATCCTCTCAAAAACGCAGGAAATGCCATTTCAGAAGGTTCCCCCTAGGAACCTCGCGCCTATGGCGCTCGCTGGTCCCCTCAAGCAGTGGGAAGAACCCCCCATTCAAAATCCAGGAGTGGCTACGGGCATGCACACAAGCTTCTGTATGTGTTTCTATCAGCCAGTTTTTTTGTTTGCCAGGAACTTTGATTCTTGACCTGTGAAATGTTGACAGTCAAACAGCAGAAATGCTTCAGATGTCTCGTACGCAGCTCTGGTTGCTAAAGAATGCTGCCTCCTGGCCTGGAGCAGTCTCTGCAGAGCTTTCAGGCCACACCTATTTAATTTGTTGGCTCTTTGATTTGAAAATGGTTTGTCTCAGAAACTCGAGCAAAGTCGAGTACAGGTTGTCACACGTAGTGAAGTCATGTGCAGGTTGTTACAAATTGTTGCAAAAAATGTTCCATTGCCTGGGCAAAAATGTCAGCCTAAAGCAGCGGAACTGGGAATTTTGCCAATTTAAAGAAAACCGAGATACAAACTTGCATAACTCAGAAACTCACCAAGTAAGGGAGGAGGATCTTCAGGTGCAGGAATCCTTGAGTCCAGTCCTACACAGGTGATGCAGGTGTAGCCTTGCACAGGTGTGCAGATGAAGACAGCAGGTGGGCCCAGGTAGCTACAGGTGTCAGCAGCCCCGGTTGCTACAGGTAGCGAAGTCAAGTACACGTTACAAATTGTAGCAGCAAAGTTGAGTGAAGGTTGTTACATACTTATAGATAACTTTATTGTACAACAGTTGTACAGGGTACAAAGTATGGCATCTAGACTAACTACATATTAACTACATTTTCATAGATAAGGCCTAACTAATACAAGAGTGGGACTGACTCACATGTAGCAGTGAAGTCAGATCCAGGTTGTTACTTAATATAGATAACTTTATTGCACAACAGTTGTGAAGGGTACAAAGTATGGCATCTAGACTAAGTACATATTAACTACATACATTTTCATCAGGCTTAACCTAACAAATACAACTTGTATTACAAGAGTGGGTGGCTTACATGTAATGTTGAAGTCAAGTTCAGGTTGTTACGTACATGTCTAATTATGGATAATTGCACAACAGTCGTACACTGTATAAAGTATGGCATCTACACTAAGTACATTGTACCCATCAACTACATTTTCATAAGGCTTAACCTAACAAATACAAGAGTGGGTAGCTTACATGTAGCGGTGAAGTCGTGTGGAGCTTGTCACAAATTGTGGCGAAGTCCAGAGCAGGTGGTCACATGTAGCGGCGAAGTCGAGTACAGGTTGTCACAACTTGTAGTAGAGTCGAGTGCAGCTTGTCACAAATTGTAGCGAACTGAAGAGCTGTGCAAACCATCAGCGTTCAGTTTATCGTCTTGCTACCTTGTGCCTCGCTACGCCTTTAGCAACCAAACAAAAGCGATACGCCGATCAGCCGCGACCCCCGACCTCACACGAAACCCGATCCTCCCCAATCACCCTCAGGCTAGCAACGCTGGTGTCATGTTACCTGGGAGGGGATCATGTTTCACTTCACGGCAAGTTTATCTAAGCCTTGTGTAAACCTCAGGTGGGTTCATTTGGCAGGATATTGTGTGGTCTGTGCCTGACTGAAGGGTGGGACGTTGTTCTTACTTTCTATAATGAGC